CAGGGCACAGAGAGCTGGAGGGTGTGACATGTCCCTGAGCTGCCCACCCCAGTCCTACCACGTGCCTCTGCCCTCACAGGATCTGAGCTATCACTTGGGATGGGGACAGAACCTCTGCCACGGGGATGTGGCTGGGGGCGCGCCAGAAGGAAGCCTGATGCTGCTGTGACCCTGCCCAACGAGGCAAACAGCTAGCAGAGACAAGCCAAGCAGCACCCGCCTCGCTCCCGCCAGCGGACCAATCTCCCTCTCCCTCCCCAATTTGGGGCATACCTCCGTCAAGGCTGCGAGACATGGTGTACCGTTTGCTGGAGGAGCGCTCAAAGAAGGGAGCTGGGCGGTCGATGAGGGCACTCGCCTGCCGCGTCTGCGCCTGCGTCCGCCCGCTGTACCGAAACTTGGAGCCCATCACCAGGAAGCCCTTGGGGGGTGGCTCCGGGGACACCAACCTAGAGGTCAGAGGGGTGGAGGAGCATCAGCAAGCCCCAGCTGTGTCCCCCCAGTGCTGCCCTCCACATGGACCCGCTGCAGCAGAAGCAGGAGTGTGTCTGCCTCTGAGAAGGGAGGCCTGGAGAAAGCCTGGAGAAGGTCTCCTCACCTGAAGAAGGTGTGATGTTCTATGCAGACCTTCCAGAGCCGTTTGGCCGAGCGGTGGTTGGGCAGCTTGAAGCCAATGGTGCTCTCAAACTGTTCGTACTTGGGGGAGAGAGAGACAGGGTGTTACAGGCAGATCCTGCCCTAGGGGACATGACAGGATCAAACCTTGCCAAGGCCGTCAGCTTCCCCTGGCAGAAGCCATTGAACATGCAAAAAAGCCCCTAAAAGCCCTTCAAGGCTGTGCTGGGAAGGTCCATGCCCAGAACCACACCCAGCAGTGTGATGGGATCACACCTCTGGCCTTTCCACAGTTGTAAATGGTTTTTCAGCACAAGATAAATTCCCTCAAGAAACAAAAACCTTTTACAGCTATTTTGGTGTGAGGGCATCACTCTCCCTTTCAAATCTGCTGTCTTTGCCCTCCTGCATGCTGGAACACATGGGTGAAAACGCATTCTACCACCAGTGCACATAAAAGAGTGAAAATAAAGTCTGAAAAATGAATGGAAAAAGCCTCCTGGTGTTTTTTTTTTTGTTAAGACATGTAAAAAATAACCCTCAACTTCCTTTCCTGGGCAAGCTACCTATGCCAGCAGAGTCATGGCATCTGGTGAGTGGGGAAGGGATCCTGGGGTCCTTCAGTTGCTGAAATCATGAGAACATGGACAAGAAAATCCATGCCATAGGAGGTGTACTGTCTTGGACAGCATGGTCATGGGAACCTTGGAGCAGAGGCTGGAGCCAGGTGAGGACATTCCTACCATCAGTCCCAGTCCTGCAGGGCAGGCACCCTGCCATGCCCCAGGGCTGTACCAGCACCTGGCACCTACCTCACCCGGGCGGATCTTGATGTAGAAGTTGCTCCTCTTGTAGGAAATTTTGAGGATCTTGGGCCAGGCAAAGCGGTTGATGCGCAGCCGGTCCCTGTAGATGAGGAGGCCGTTGGCGCAGACACCTAGCATGATGTCAATGCCCTCTGAGTCCTGAAGGAGGCAAGGGGACAGGAAGGGACAGCTCAGTGGCTCAGCAAGAACCAGTCAGGCCAGCAGTGCCACATATTACCCTGCTGGGCGCTACAGGGGCCTGGCTGGCAGAGGGGAAACTGAATCCCAGACTGGTGGAGGATGAAACTCTGGAGCTTGTCTGGTCCAATGCAGGGACACCCAGGGACACGCCAGGACCATGTCCTCGCTGGACCTTCACTGCAGCAGGACAGGGTGGGCAGGAGAGGAGTGCAGGAGTGGGGCAGGACGGTCCTGGCCAATGCTCTCACAGCCCCACAGACCCATACCTTGGCATGATGCAGGTCCACCCCATACATAGAGAGCTTCTTGGCGTTCTCCAGGAAGTGGATCTCTGCTTCCCCAGGAGTCATTCCCCTGCAGGGAGACAGAGAGGGGGTCATGTGGCCGGGCGCCCCACCAGGCATGGGCCATCTCTCTGGTGCCATCTCCCTCCAGGGCTCACCGGTAGGTCTTGTGCAGCTCCATGATGCGCTCCTCCAGCTCCCGCGTCTGGTTGGGGGCGAAGCGGAGCTCACTGACATAGTTGCCAACGTGCTCCTCAGTGTCATGGTCACCCAGCTCAGCCTGGACAGCATAGGAGCCCAGCAGGGCATGGGTGACAAAGGAGCAGGGCAGGCGCCCTGTGATGATGTCCGCACGGAGCTGCAGGCACAAGTAGTATCTGCAGGAGGGGGCAGAGGGTGAGAGCAGGGCAGGGTCGTGTGCTCCATGGAGCAGGCTGGGGCTCCCTGGGAAGGGGGTGTGTGCCCCCTGGAGCAGGCTGGGGCTCCCCAGGAAAGAGGTGCATGGTCCTCACCTGGTGATGTCCTCTGTAAGCTGGGCAGGGTCTGGAGGGTAGAACTTCACAGTGAAGGCAAAGTTCCAGGGCCCACCTAGGGAGGGGAAAGAGCATTAAGGACAGCACCCATGAAGCTGCACACAGGGTGCAGGAGCATCAGTGCATCCATTAAGGGTCCTGCTGCTCCCCCCAAGCCCAGCACAGGGCAGGGACAGGGGGGCTTCAGAAGCTGCCTGGAGCACAGCCCGTGGGACACTAGGATAATTTGGTTAATCCTCCTCAAACAGGTATAGAGAGAAAAGCATCTCAACTTCAGGAGCCATCAGCTCAGTGTCACAGCAAAAGACTTCTGTGTCCCAGGTGACACCCTGAGCAACAATCTTTCTGCCACCCCAGTAAGGCAACACCGTGGGCAAAGGCACCCCAGGACCTGTCCCAACAGGGACCCCCACTCTTCTTGCCCGTCCCTGTCCTTCCTACTCAGGGCAGGTGGTGCCCAGAGAGGCACCAGGTCTCAGCCAGCTCTCCAGGGGCACAGATGGGGTCCTTTGTCCCCCCTGCCTTTCATGAGTAAGAGAAGATGCAGGTAACAGTTGAATGAGAAACAGCATCCCTGTCCCCTGGCCAGCTGCCAAAGGTCCCCTCCAGGACAGGTAGGGAGGGGACCCACTGCAGGAGAGCCCCAGCTGAGCCATCTACCAGCCCCATGGGACACCACAGGGTGGGGAAGTATGGACCCTCCCCAAGCACTTACTGCGGATCTGCTTCTTGATCTCCTTGGAGGGGTCTAGCCAGTTCTGCAACGAGGAGACAGCAGGTCAGGGGGGTCCCCACCATAGAGGGGGTGGCTGCAGAGAGACCCCCCCCGTGCTCACCTTCTGGCTGTCCGAGTCGCAGAAGGTGAGGCCGAAGTAGTCCTTCTCCAGGAGGTTGAGGTGCTCACACACCAGGTCAAAGAGGACCTGGCCTCGGGCGTGTTTCTGTTGGAGACATGGAGAGGCTGATGGTGAGCTGGCTCCCTTGGGCTCCTGGAGCCCCTCCAGGTGACCACCAAAGTTGCTCTCACCCAGCAATGGGCTTCACCATGCCCCATCCCTGCAGCCCTGGGATCACCTGGGTGTCCCTGAAGTGGTGCTTTGCACTGCTTTGGGGATGCAGAGATGGGGGACCACTTTGTGGACACCCAGGTGGTCCTGGGGCTACTGCTGGCAGTGGTGACTAGGTCCCCAAACACAGCATGACAAGTGAGAGCTACACAGAGTCCAGGCCATGCACAGCCATGGCAGACACCCTCGGCATCACAAAATTCCAGAATGGTTTGGGTTGGAAGGAACCTTAAAGATTGTCTAGTTCCACCCCCTGCCACAGGCAAGGGCAGCTTCCATGAGACCAAGTTGCTCTGAGACCCATCCAACCCAGCCTTGAACACTTCCAGGCATGGGAAGGAAGTGAATTTCCCTGAATTTCCCTTCATTACCAGTGGCAGTGAGGCCCAGGCTCATTCATAGACATGGAAAAATCAACCCTTCCCAAGTGTGTATCTTCCCTGTTTAGGAAAAAGCTTCTTCCCGTGAGGGTGGTGAGACACTGGCACGGGTTGTCCAGGGAGGCTGTGACTGCCCCAACCCTGGCAGTGCTCAAAGCCAGGCTGGATCAAGCCTTGAGCAACCTGTTCTGGTGGGAGGTGTCCCTGCCCAGGGCAGGGGGTTGGGACTATGTGACCCCTAAGCTCCATTCCAAACCCTAAAATTCTATGATTCTATGATTCTATTTCCAGTCTGGCAGCTCTCATCACCCCTCTCCAAGTCATCCACTTACTGGAGCACCTCCATCAAGTGCCCCCAGGGTGGCAGCCCAGGGCACCATGCAGCACAGCCTGGGCTCCTGCTGCCCTCCAAAGCTTTTCCAGCAGATGCCATCACCCTCCTAGGGTATCCTCCCTGTTTTTGACCTGTGTTTGAAGGCAGGGGCTCACCTGTGGCACGTGCTAGGGTGTCACATTGAACAGCTTGACTCTCCTGTTTAATTTTTAATGAACTAAGGTTTCCAGCACATGCACAAGGCACAACTATTCAACTAACAACTACCAATAGGGCCTGCCAGAAAGAAGGAAATGCAGCACCAGCCTTTCTACACCTAACCCCTTCCTGTGTGCCCCACGTGGCTTTTTCAGAGAGCAGCAGCTGTTGACCCTGTCCTTGGGTGATGTGGCAAGGGGCATCACCCTGCTATACCAGCACCTGTGACCAGGAGTTCTGCTGACATCCTGGTTTGCTTGGCCAATGCTCCAGGAAGAGCCTTGGGAAGGATGACCCTGCTGGGGCTGGCTAGCCACCCCTGTGCCCCATGAGTCTCTGCAGTCCTTGAAGTGCTCCACTCCTTTCCTTCTTCAGGAAGGGTTTTGGCTTGGTGCCAACCCTTCTTTTCACAGCTTTGTGACCAATTTCACCACTGAAGTGACAGCCAGGGCTGCTGGAGCACGGAGATCAAAGGCCCTGCTGCCCATGCCATGGGCCAGGCCACAGTCTGCCCTGGGGTGCTTCCTCCTTCCAGGCAGTCACACTCCCTACATTCATCAATCCTACACAGCCAAAGCCTGTGGCAAGCAGGACCCACACAGAGACCAGCTCTGTGAAGCCAGCTCCAAGCTGCTGCCAACAAACACCCGTGTGCCCACTCACCAGAGCAAGGGCAAAGGTCTCCCTGGAAAACGCTCTCAGATTTCTCCTCCTGCCAACAATCTCAGCTGTTCATTTTTAAGCAAAGTTGCCACTCCTTAAAAATGTTGCTCCCTCCCTCTGAGCTCATGGTGTGGGTTGGAGCAGTGCTGCCTCCCCAACCTGCAGGCAGGAGACAGCAGTGAGTGCTGCAGATTGAACAGGCACTCCTCCTGAGAAGTCCTTCTGCTCCCTACTGCCTTGTCCCTGTGGCAGGGGCACTGGAACCTTCCAAGAACACCAGCCCAACTCCTGAATTAATCGTGGGCATCCCCCAGCAGTCCTAGAAGGGAGAGGTCCCCGTGCTGATGGTGGCTGTAGCAGCCCTGCAGCATCTCCCAGTGCCCAGGTAGCTACTGCCAGGTGCCTC